TCTGTCTTCTAGAAAAAACAGAGTAACTGTAATCTCTCTTCTATAAATCTTCAAATATAAAGATGTAAAAATAACCTGATGTTTACTAAAATTAGATTATGTCCACCTTCTAAGTATGATTGAATTTGCAATTTCACAAAAACAATCACATGCAAGACCAAATGTGCTTTTCATGGCAGGGTAAGTACAAAAATTCTCAGGAAGGAATGTCAAGCCATTTTTATTTGTTTGTTTCAATTTCCCCCAATTTAACATTTCCTTTTAATGTAGCCTAAACCACTCAGGGATTTGTATGAAGAGCGATGTAAAAATTACCAAGATTTATATATCCCTCTTCGAGGCAGAGATTAGATTTTACTCATCTCTGTTATCTTTAGTGCTTGACAAACTGAACAAGTATTAATATAAATGATTTTTTTCTTGAACAAATACATTTTGAAAAAACTCCTAAAAACACAAAATTGTCCTAAACATAGAAGATTTCTCAATTTTGTAAGTAATTTACAAATTTGAACAGTATTCCTTTATCATCAATATTTTACAAGTAGAGGAATTCAGCTTTCAAAGTAGAAAAACCACTTGGTATGATGATGATGCCTGGTAACTCTACTGCCATAGATACCATTTGGTCCTGTCTTGGGCCAGGGAGGCAGACTAGGTAAATTTTGAGGATTTCTTCTAGCACCAAGGCTATTCATTTATTGCTTTGTTACTAGGCATAGCTATCAATGGCTAAGGTGTCATTAACCATAAAAACAGTTTTATTCTCAGTCTACCATTACTATCCCAAGGGTTCCATTTATACTTGTGTCACAATTTTTTTGTTTTGCTCACTATAAACTTGTAAACACCAGCCTTTTCTTAAACTGAGTTTGTTTTGCTTAAAGTTTTCTGAGAAATGGTTTTATACAATTGCTAAATTGAAATAACTAGGGTTATAAAGACAGTGTATGTGGAGGCCATTAGATTTAATGAAAGGTTTGTGTAAGATTATATTTAATAAAAAAGTGGGCAGAATTGTGTTTTGGCATATACAGTAACAAAAACTGATAAGCTGTGACTGAGCTGAAGTTATAATCTGCCAGATTTCATGAGTAATCATTGTATTCACCATATATTAGCTAAATACAAATAGAATTTGAAAAAAATATGAAAAAGCCATCATCTTTTAATTTTTTTTGTGTGTGTTAATCCTCACACAAAAAGGGAAATTTTTCCATTGATTTTTACAGAGAGTGGAAGGGAGAGGAGAGACACAGAGAGAGAAACATCATCGATTGGTTGCCTGCCGCCCTCACTGCCCCTACTAGGGCGGGGGATTGAGACTGCAACTGAGGTACGTGACCTTCACTGAAATCAAACCCTGGGCCTTTCAGTCCATGGGCTGATGTTCTATCCACTGAGCCAAACCCGGTAGGGTATCTTTTAATTTTTTTGTCCTGTAGATTTCAAAGCTTGGTATGTTATTTTTTTCACAGACATTTATTTAAGAGGTAAATTATTACAAACTTCTAATTAAAGGGTTTCAAAAATGTGCTTGGAACATAGTGGGGGCTTAATAAATATTTAATAAGTGAATTAAATAAATGAATTTATGTTTTACTATAGTGTGCTGATAGAACAGGGTCTGATGACACCAATTATGACATATAAAATTTTGTCTTGCAATTTGTCTTTCAATGTTAATTAACAAGAACACTTGTGAATTATCTAAGTTTGAATTATATTATACATTATTAAGTAGGGCTAAACATTTTCAGCAACTATTTACTTTAGTTGCTAAAGTGTCAAGTTGCTGCAATAAACAGTACTGAGAAAATTAGAGCCAGATAAGGACAGAAATCCCCAAGTTATTGTTTTAAAGGAATTTAACCTATCACATTACTCTCAGAGAAAACTTATTCATTGGCCACCAGGGAAGCCAGGCCTAAGGTTTTTAAATGTATAGATGTTCAAAAATAATAACTATAATCAGGACAATTTTTAGTATCAGGACTGTGTTCTAGTGCTTTCAAAACAGATGAATGTGAGAAGGGGTAGCCATTTAATTGGAAATCAGAGAAAGGAACTTTTAGATTTTCTGTAAGTAATAAAAATTCTTATAACCCTCATAAGTTTCAAGTATTCTCTCTGCTTTAAGATAGACTCATTCCTCCATTTCCCCCCAAAAAGAGAACAGACAGATGAATCTCAACCTCTGCATAAGTCTTAATATAGACTGAAATCTATATTAAACCATATCACCACTCACATGATCTCTAATAGGTGGACAGAAAGTCAGTATAGGCCAGTCACGCTGAAGAAGGTAGTCTCAGAGAATCTGGTTCATAAAGTTAAGTAAGTTTACTTATTTGGTTTAGTAATACTTGGACCCCAAATTCAATTTGTTGAATAATATGTTTTAAAAAGGGCACAATTTGGGGACTATCTTGGATTTAGGCAGTAAGTTTTATATGGTCTGGTATCAATCAGTTTCCAAAGGGATGGGTTATCTGGGCTTTGAGGAATGCCTTTTTGTTTCCTAATACATTGTATTCATCAAAGAGGTTTAAGGGATTGGCAAGGAAAGGAGTTTTGACATTAAAAAGTCAGAAATGTAGGACCTACAGGTGTAGATGACAGTTAATCAAGGAAACCTTAGCAACATCTGGGAACTGATTTATGAAGTAAAGCTATTGCTTATCAGAAGTGCTAACATTATCATTTTATAATACAAAAGAATGGAATAGCCTCTTGATCATGTAAAATGCTAACTGACCTCTACATTGGTGTACACATCCCTGTTGAGAGGTATGCTATTTATCCCAATCTATGTTTCTTAAAAAAAAAAAATTATCGATTTCAGAGAGGAAGGAAGAGAGAGAGAAACATCAATGATGAGAGAGAATCATCTATTGGCTTTCTCCTGCATGCCCTGACTGGGGATCAAGCCTGAAACCGGGGCATGTGCCCTGACAGGGAATCAAACCTTGACCTCATGGTTCATAGGTCAATGCTCAACTACTGAGTCACATCAGCCAGACCCAATGTATGTTTCTTCATTGATTTTTTCTTTTTTCAGAGAGAGGTAGTGGGAAAGAGTGAGAGAGGGAGGAAGGAAAGAGGAGGAGGAGGAGGGAGAGAGGTGTAAGATTCAGTTGCCTCCTTTACAACCCCCTCGCCCCCTGCCACTGGGAATCGAATCTACCATCTTCTGGAGCACAGACAATGCTCTAACTAACCAAGCCACACTGGCTAGGGCCAATCTGTGTTTTTTAGAGTAGCCAGCACATTGGGGAAATAAAGTAATTTAGCAGACTCTTTAGAACGTCCCTTGATAACATTTAGTTTAAAAAATCATTTATTTATTTATTTATTTACTTACTTATTTTATATAGTATCTTCATTCCTATCTTATCTTTTGATGATCTAACCTATATATTACTGCTAGAATAATTTTTCAAAAAGAACTCTAATTACATTATCCTACTCCAAAAATTTTTACATCTCTCCATCATCTGCCAAAGCAAGTACAGATTACAGCCTGGCATTCAATGATTTCCACAAAAATAGCCCCAACCTATCTTTCCCAATCTATTTCCTAGTACTGCTCCTACATAGATAGCTACAAACTAGGCCTCTCCTCCAGGAGGCCTAAAGTATTAGGCAACAGTGGATTGCTGCACCTAAGGTACTGGAGGAGAAGACAATAGCCAGTTCCCCACTTGAGCTCCAACAGAGAGGTTGGGAAGTGAACACCGCTCTAGTACCTCTCTGAAACACAGATTTCATATATCATACTATTGCTTAAAAACAATAGAGTGAGTTTTTTTTATAAATCTAGGCTCCATGGGCCAGGATGTGGTTAGAATTTAAAGTTTCCATGGACTTGGATTGGTGAATAAAATTGCATTTAAAAATATTTTTATTGATTTCAGAGAGGAAGGAAGAGGGAGAGAGAGACAGAAACATCCATGATGAGAGAGAATCATGGGCTGGTGGCCTCCTGCAAGTCCCCCACTGGGGATGGAGCCCACAACTTGTGCCCTTGACCGGAATCGAACCTGGGACCCTTCGAACACATGGGACCCTTCAGTTCGCAGGACAATGCTCTATCCACTGAGC